TGTATGCTCCGATAAAGCTGAATTTTCCTTTTTGCAAAGAAAAAGCGCTTTTTGGTGTTCTTTTAACCGTGTACCAAACTGACGTTTGGTCTGTCCGATGTATTCGTTGTCACAGTCATTGCAAGAAATAGAATAAATGGCGTCGGTTCGTTGTTCTTTCGTGACAGGATCCTTAGGTTTGGCGAAAATATGCCCCAAAGTCAGAAAAGGTTTTTGAGCAACTTTAACGTTGTGGCTATTCAAAATTCTCTTGATGGGTTCAGTACCACCCTGTATGTAAGGAATAACAGCAAAACCCGTCGCTGATTCCCTTTCAACAAGAGCGTTACTATTTATAACTGGTTTTTGGCAGTTACGGAGAAAAGTTTTTGTATAGCCATTTGCCTTTAGGACATTGGAGACATATTTCCTGTCCTCGGCCTTCGAATCGAGTGAAGATGGTAGACAGTCAGCCCTCCTAAGTAAAGTTTTGGCTACAGACTTTTAATGGCAAATAGGGTGGTGAGAATCGAAAGCGAGGTATTTGTCAGTGTGGGTAGGTTTACGGTAGACACTTGTCTCTAAATTACCCTGAACCCCTCTGGACACATTTAAATCAAGAAAAGGCAAATGTCTATACTTTTCACGCTCAAGGGTGAATTGGATCGACGGCTCTACTGAATTCAAATGCGACAAGAGGCGCTCCGCTTCATTTCCGGATACCGCAAAAAATAACATCACCGACATATCGTTTCCAGAAAAATGGTTTAACCGGTGAAGTGGCTAAGGCCCTTTGTTCCACGTCTTCCATTACCATGTTAGCAATGACGGTAGAGACGGGCGAACCCATCGCTTAACCAAAAACTTGTTGATAGTATGTGCCGTTATATTGTCTGGTAGTAAAGTCGTCAATAAAGATGTTTGATAAGAGTGAACCAAAACCCACAACTGACGAAATAGCAATGTGAGAACCCGTCAAACCTTTGAGAATTAAGTTACGAACCGCAACAGTGTGGTGAAAGCAAACCTACGGGTATGATGAAGTTAGTCCTACTGAGTGAGGAGTGAATTTTACTGTTTGGTAATGGTTTCAGCGTTTCAGCGCCATGTTGTCATGTTTTCATGCTTTTCCTTCGAACTTCAGGAAATGGTTTGTCTCAAAGAATATAGAGTTACTCTTTCTTCGCTCAACATCTCGAGGCGTACTTAATGCTTGGATTATGCTCGGGTTACGATATTTTTTTTCCTAATGCTGGAAACTGAAATCAGTCGATAGTCATCACATTTTGCAAGGAGCGCCCGATCGTGTAATTAAACGGAGTCCTGGCAATTTGAGCTCACAGGTACACCGACTTGTGACTCTGGAAGTACTGAACTTGATTTATTTGATATACAAGGCACTTTTCAAGGGGGAAGGTTAGAATAAAATTGTTTCTACATATGTAGATAATTGCTTTAAAAATTCCCATTGTAGCTGTATTTAGAGGCATAGACATGTAGATAATAATGGTTCTTCTTTATTTTATGGTAACGAGTTTCTTTCTGTAATGATGAAATGTGCTTATGCTTTCAAATGTAAAAAAAAAATGTGATGAGAATATGATCTTTTAAACACTCACGATAAAAAACAAAATACGTTTTGTTGGTAGCTCATGTCTTTAATGCTTAAATTTCATAAGAAATGTTTTTCATTGACAGCGGAGATACAGAAGTTTTCAAAACTGTTCGAAATAAACTGTTTTCAAGTAATGATGAGCTAATTGACAATCATATTTTAATACTTGACATGCTTCATTCATACATGTCAGTTTAGTATGGCTACCGATGTAGAGGTGTCTTTAAAAATACTTTTTGTATGACTGTTGTTCTTTGTTGATATTTGTAGGAAAAAAATCTACTAAAGGCACTACTAATTTTTATGTACACAAGGCACCCTTCGAGGTGGAAGAGTGGAAGACGATAAAATGATGTTTACTAGGCACTTGCACCTACCGCAATCATATATTCAAGCGATACACAATATAGATAAAACTGATTACATAATATATTTAATAACTGTGCACGTTTTCAATGCTCCTCGCATTTGTTGGCAACAATAGTCGATTGTTTGAAATGCAAACAAACAATTTGGAAACTTGAGCCCTTTGTAAATGCTCCTTGGCTTGCAATTCTGATGATTACAGCTTGCTGAGGTAATTGAAATGTCCGTCGCCATGCAAGAACCTTCCATACCTGTACAGTCATATACTACGAGATAACTTATGACAAAATTCTTTTGTGTTGGTAGAACTATTGTAAGTACAGTACCACCTATTGACAAAAATTACTATTTTTACTATAATGCATAGGGCTTGATGATTTTAATGCATATCTTTTAGCTTTCAAACTTTCAACTTTATATTAATTGTAACTCTTTACCGCCATATCTAATTCTCTGTACCTAAAGTCCACTAAAGTTGAAGGAGGTGAGTCTAAAACATAAGAATTGTGTGATTGTATAATTTTGCAGAGTAAGTTTTCACGTTTTAACATGTAATATTATTATCTAGATTACACTGAATTCTTGCTCAAGGTTTCAATAGTGCATGGTGTTTCTTACCAATGCTCATACTCAAACTAAACATGCCCCCTTCCCTTTAATGTTTAAGCCACATAGATGAAGAGAACATTTTTTTCTTTTATTTTGAAGCATGAAAGTTAAATTAACTGGCATCCACGTAATACACACTACAGATAGTTCTGTTATGCATGAGCAAATGGCTATTTTTAAAGTTCAAAGTAAATAGCATTTCCCAAGGCTGTTGTTTGCGACCAACTCTCGATCATTTTTTTTTCTGGTAAAAGTGTGATTTTCCTTCTATCAGTACAAACCTGGTCTAACTTGTACATGAAGGTTACTGTTTCGGGTACACTAACCTAGTAAATCAGTTGCGAAATTTTCTTGATCCCGTCATCCCTTGAAAGTTTGATTCAATTTGACCTCACTAACGTAAATTGAATAATAAGAAACTTAAAATTTATTTGTTCTCCTTTTAAGGTTGCATAAAAATTGTGAAATACAGGTTTATAGTAAGTCTACATGCGCGTGTGTTTGAAATATTAAAACCGGGATTGTGACTAATTAGAATGACTTTACTAGGTGTAGTAGTAGTCGTAGTAGCAGTAGTAGTAGTAGTAGTAGTAGTAGTAGTAGTAGTAGTAGTAGTAGTAGTAGTAGTAGTAGTAGTAGTTGTAGTAGTAGTAGTAGTAGTAGTAGTAGTAGTAGTAGTAGTAGTAGTAGTAGTAGTGGTAGTAGTAGTAGTAGTAGTAGTAGAGTAGTAGTAGTAGTGGTAGTGGTAGTGGTAGTTGTTGTTGTCGTTTTTGTTGTTGTCGGGAGTGACCGACTGTTTACAAAGCTATACCGTGAGAGAGAGCTTCAATGGAAGGTTACTAATTATCAAGAAACATTGGAGGAAGCTGTGAGTTCGGCTCAATGGTGAGCTAAGATATAGACTGTAGTGGGCTTAAGTTAGTTTATCGAGCATAAGTACTGTATTGCCTTTAGAAGTCGCTCCTTATGAAGAATATCACTCGTTGTTTAATATGGCAGTTGTGAGTTTGTAGAATCGTAGTGTCTTTTTCTGTTGGTTAGATTAAACTGTGACAGTATGCTTCAAATTTATGTAATAAAAGATTGTATCCTTCTTAAAACTAGTTCATCAGAATAAGAATTAGTCAAAATGCACAAATATGGCTTTTCAGGGGATAGGTTTCAGGTTTTAAAATAGTCACTTTCCCTTTCAATATTTTCCCTAGATCTGCTGACCTACTAAAATCCTCAGTTCCTCGTCAAAGCTTAAGTAACAGGGCCGATTGGCAAATCATTGATACAAACAGGCTAGTCTATTCCCACATACACCCTCTCAGTCCTGTTAGCTTATTCTGGACATGGCATTTCACACATGGAATTTCCCCTGACTAATTATTTTGTGATGGTGTTTGCAAGTTGTGGAAAATGGTTGGGTTGAAATATAATACAAAGACTTGCCAGCAGATAAAATGAAAAAAATTTACATATCAATAAAAATTTGTTGCTGTGTTTCATGTTAACGTATAGCAACTCCACCTTCAAATAATTTCATTTATTTGCAAACATTAGAAAATACCAACTAAAACTTTTCAGCCTCAGTAACATGGCCAATAACAACATCAACTCAACTTTTAAACTATAAAGAAAACTTGACTGATGTTTGGAATTGATTCCTGTAGAGTACAAATGCAATCCAGGTTTTATCTCTAGATTTCTACCAATGTCTTATGGTCGAATCCTAAGTCTCTCTCCGTCATCAAGTTTAATTACGATATTCGAGTTCTACCTTGTCTTCCTCTAAGTCTAACTTTCGCAGCGCAAAAAACAAGTTAGACTAATTTCGTATTTCATTTCCTAGAGTTGCTAGGATTATGGACAGTTGCCTTAAAGACACTTTCATTATATGTAGTTACAGCAGAGGTTACAGAAATAATCTAATCGAATCGAAAAATTTCAAACCAGCCAGAGAGCAATCATGAAACGAGAATAACCAAAGGGAAAAAAGTAAAAGAAAACGATAGATTTAACACTACTTGAAAATGACTTTTCTTTTAAATCTACCGGTGATGTCTTAACGCAAAGTAGTTTACCGTCTTCACTTTCAATTTTGATTCATTATTCCAAACCAAAATTATCACTCACGCTCAGTAGAATATAATTTCAACTAATACTGACGTCATAAACTTCCATATGTAAAGGAGAACA